AAGCTGGAGCATCCCACCCTGCACCCCAGTGCCTGGGGCAGGCTGGGCTGGGGGCAAGCAGAGCCTGCCAGGCCGTGGGGACAGGGAACAAGGGGACAGGGTCTATGGGGGCTGCAGACCTGGAGCCCAGAGAACCAAAACCTCAAAGCCAGGCAGGGCTTCAGTGCCAGGGCAGACGCTGGGGACCAGGGAGGGGACACTGTGGTGGCAGTGCATCCCCCGTGCCAGGCTCGGGGTGCTGCCCTTGGGAGTGGAAGCAGCCATGGGTGCACCTCAGTGTGCATCACCAAACACCCTCCACAGCTCGGGTAGACCCCACAAGCTGCGGGTACAGCCGCGATCCCAAAGGCCCCTCGGGATCAGGAAGGTGTCCCTTTGGAGAGCTGTGGGGTTTGTGCAGTTGGAGCAGACAGGCCGATGACAGCCACCCTGGTGTGGATTTCAGAGCCTCCAGGCCTGTCCCTGCTCCTCAAGAGGGCACAGCCGTGCCCGGGGCACAGCAGYTCGGAGATGCTGCCGCTGATGGCTGGTGGTGATTCCCGAGCTGACAGTGACACCTTCYGTTCGCACAGCTCCAGCCCGGAGCCCGGCGTGCCGGCCGAGCAGCGCAGGTGCCAGCGGCAGCGCATGGGCTGAGCTGCTGAAATCCCTTCCTTTACATCAGAAATCCCAAATCCCCTTCCAGTGCAAGTGTGGCCCCGTCCCTGTACATGGTGAGGGCTGGACAGTTGGGAGGGGTTGGAAAGCCTGAAAAGGTGGGCACAAACCAAGGAGCTGGGTGCAAACTGCTTCAGGAAAAGCAGCTCTTGACTTGCAATGTAGCACAGAGAGCTTAAAGCTTTGGTATGATAGCACCGAAACTTTTACTTAGATGTGAAATTGATTTAAATCTCATTTTCYGCCCYAAAARCAGCCTTAGARTCACAGAATATCCTGARTTGGAAGGGACCCACAGGCATYACTGAGGTTCAGCTCCAGGTCCTGCACAGATCCCTCCAGCTGTCAGCCTGATCTATGGGTTTCTACCAAGCATTTAAGATCAACTGTGCCAGTTTTTCCCAACACCCAGGGGCTCCCAGGTGTGGTGGGGGTGATGATGTTCTCCTCTCTAGCAGAGGAGACAGAAGCACCCAAAGATTCCCTGTTCTGGGGGGAATCTCTGCTCTGGAGAGCACAAAGGAGAAGCAGGATTGCAGTTGCCAGAGATGGGGCACCCCTGCCCTTGTCACTGAAACTGCGGGAAAAACAAAAACTCTCCAACAACATTTTTAATGTTAGAAAGTCAAGGCATTACTTTATTTTCTGGCCAGGATGTTGTTCTGGCCAGGATGTGCCACAGAAATMATCTCATCCACACACAGCCCGGGTGTGAAGAGAAAAGCATTCTAGGACACATAAATTTTACAATTTTTTTTCCCCAAACTTTATACAGTCAAAATTACAGAATTCTATTGGTTTAATGTTCATTGGTTCAACGTTGTGCAGTTCTCAGTATCTGGGTTCTTATTGGATCTGGATTTGTTCGCTTTTGATGCTAATTAGGTCTTGGTTCTTACTTTTTTTTTTCTTAAACCAAGTACTTCTGACCACACCAACAATGACGTTCAGAGCTGATACTCTGTTAAATGACTGTTAATCGTTTTGATGACCRTTAATAGTCCTTATCTTCTGTGCCACTCCCAGTCCGTTGAAATGTTAATTAAGCCTCACCTAGTAAAACAATGCCCTAAAAAGAAAACCTTCCCCCGAAACAAAACCAAAATCTTTGACTAAAGTTAAACCAAAAATGGTAAACTAGTATATTTTTCAACACTCTGACCAGTTGAAATTTAGGAGCTGCTTCCTCCACTGGGAGATTTGTCCCCCATCCCTCCCTCTCTCCCYTTTCCTGGAGCTCCCTCGCACACCCCCTGACCGCACGCCTGTCCTTGCAGGCGTCCAAGATGTCCTTGAAGGTGCAGACGAGCAACATCACCAACAAGAACGACCCCAAGTCCATCAACTCGCGGGTGTTCATCGGCAACCTGAACACGGCGGTGGTGAAGAAGGCCGATGTGGAGACCATCTTCGCCAAGTACGGCCGCGTGGTGGGCTGCTCCGTGCACAAGGGCTACGCCTTCGTGCAGTACTCCAACGAGCGGCACGCACGGGC